GAGGTGCACCCAAAGCTTGCTACTGGGCAGTGTTACTTCTGGATTTGGGTAACCAAAACAAAGCATGAACAGAACTTTTGACACCTATGATCTTTTTTGGAACTGTTTCTTGGAATTCGTCTTTCACTGTAACAGAAACCTGTTCTCTTTATCTTGGGGACAGAAGGGAGAAAGGGTGAAGACTGTTGCCCAGACATAAGGTAATGTTAGGTGAAACAACATTTTGATGTAAGAAGGACATGGACCTGTTTGAGTGAGTCCAGAGGAGGCCACAAAGATAATCAGAGGACTGGAGCAGCTCTGCTATGAAGACAGGCTGAGAGAGTGGAGGTTGTTCAGCCTGGAAAAAAGAAGGCTCCAGGGAGACCTTAGAGCAGCTTCCAGTACCTAAAGGGGGTGGTGTACAAGAAATCTGGAGAGGGACTTTTTACAAGGGTATGTAGTGACAGGACAAGGGGAAATGGCTTTAAACTGAAAGAGGGTAGATTTAGATCAGATATTAGAAAAAAAATTCTTCGCTGTGAGGGTGGTGAGACACTGGAACAGGTTGCCCAGAGAAGTCGCAGATGCCCCATCCCTGGCAGTGTTCAAGACCAGGTTGGATGGGGCTTTAAGCAACCTGGTCTACTGGAAGGTGTCCCTGCACATGGCAGGGGGGTTGGAACTACTTGGGGCTTTAGGGTCCTTTCCAACCCAAACCATTCTATGGTTCTATGATTTGAACTCCTACTTGGATATACCTACATCACAGAAAGTGCTATTGCTGTTGTTCTTTTAACAAAGTTCACATAGAATCTGCTAAGTATAAAAAAACAATTACTGTATTTTCTCAAAAGGTAGTTCTCTTAAGTGTCACAATCAGGCACAATTATTAAGGGGCACATAGCGTGAGGAAGGTTATGCAAACCAACCTGTGCCTGCCCTGTATATATGCTGTGAACAACAGTGGAAACTGAGGTCTGTTTGGCATCCAGTTGGAACTCATTTTTAACTCAATTTTTTGGACTAGCTCCTTCAGAAAGGTCTCCAAACAAAGCACTGTAATTGGTATTAAACATCTGCCATTAATTTGCTGCTGTCTTAACTTGAAAAACAGTGAATTATGTATCTTTAAGTAAGTTCTTCAGAAGAAACCCTGCCAAAGGACCTACACGCAGGCTAAAAATAAACCCATTATGTTAGCAGAAAAAATGCTTTCTGAATTAAGGTGTTAACATTAAATAAATGCAGTTAAAAATGTTTTTCTACAAAGTTATGCAAGAAACTTTGAATGCTGAACAATTTTCTGCCTAAAAAATGTTTGTAACTAAGCTTTTATTTTAATCACGTTTCTTTCCTTGCACAGGCTGACTGGAAAAGCTTGCTCTATGAAATATTTACCAAACATTTCTTGTCTTCCAAAGCTCAAGTATAATCATCCTATTTCCAGCCCATTTATTACAATTGCCACCATCACACGAAAATATTCAACATAGAAAATCTTGTTTCCCCTTTAGAGTCAAGGAATTTATTCTTCAGAAACCACACACACTCTTCCCATCCCCCCATGGATCTTTTACACATTGCTGGAATAGACATCCTCACCCCCAGGCTTTGATAAATTAAGTAATATAAACTTCAGTATAATGAAAGAATTTAATCTCTTCTAAAGACATTGACATGTTTTGCCTTGAAAGCACATTTAAAAATACTTCTAAACATGTGCACTGTTAAAAAGCAGGCTCTACAAAGCAGTATTTATATCATTCCACGTACGGAAAAGACCACAACTTTAATACCGTATTCTCACCTGCAGGTCTGTGATTGAGACTGAATACTCTACATCTCAAAATTCAGTTTATGAACAAAAATCCATGTCATTTCTATGAAGTGAATTTAGAATTGCCTCCCCAGCCTGTTTATATTGTGATGAATTGGTTAGCTGGTGTTATCAGGACAGCCTACAACACAATGCCTTTGCTTATTTACAAAGTCTAAACCAAACTTGGTTGTCAAACACATTAAGCAAAACTGAACACTCAAATCAGATTCAACCTACTATTTTAAGACATTGCTAGAAATAATACCTACTGATAGAATGTCAAATACATGCTTTGGGCAATAAAATATATTGCATTGGTCAAAACTGGTTACATAAACAAGCTTAACGAACAAAAGAGGTCATCATATCCACTAAGAAATTTCTAAACCCCATGATCACAAATTTAGTCCTAATTCAGAAACAGTATGTACAAACTAGAGAGTTAACTAAATTGTGATTTAGTTAACAACCGAGTTTTACATAATTAGATGAAGTTAGACACCTTTTCTCTTTGCAAAACTAGTGAAAGCAGCAGCAAGAAACAAATTCTATTCTTACAACTGAACAAATGTGGAAGGTAAAATACATATCCAGGGATATGTTTCAGACCACAAAAAATACAGTACATTATTCACATAGTTAGAAAAAAACAAGCCAATTACCAAGATGTTTAGTTGGTAAAAGTTTAATGTCAACTTACTTATAAAAATGAAAAAATATTTTAACATTCACCATACAACTGAGCAACCTGGCCCTACTGACTATTAGCTATAGGAAGGCATTTAAGGAAATGATGGCTGTGTCAAAACAAAGGCTAACTTCAGGCATGTATGCTGCTTTAAAAACAAAACAAAAATAAAAAGGAAAAAAAAAACCAAACCCCAAAATTTCTCTCATTTGCAGGAAGCTAAATGCTTAGCCTAGTTTTTAAAGCTAATTACAAAATCCTCTTTCATACTGGTCCAGATGTCTTGACAATTTCTTCTTCTAACAGAACTGTCAAAAGAAAAGAATTTTTATGAGATCTTCATACAGCTTATTTCTAAATCTTTGCAAGAAGAAACAAAAATATGACACCATACTTAGGATATGGAAATTACTAGTTAAAGCATTTGCTTATAACATACCCATTCCTTCACTCAAGCATCTTTATACAAGACGCTTTTGTAACCACCACCTTACAGAAGGTTTTAAGGACAAATGAACTCTTCCAGGTGCTACATCAAACAATTTCTAAGCCTTATAAATTATTTAGGCGTCTTGGAGTATAGATTTATACAATATTCAGTAGTAACATATATAAAACTAGATGCATAAAATGACTGCTGTAATCTTAAATCTTAACGTATGCTGTGCAACGTGGTTCTGCAGTGTTCTCTTCAGAAAAATAAGGGAATGTAGGTCTCATATTTCATATTGCATGCTACCACATCTGAAGTTGTACATTTTACAGGCCTTCATTTCAGTGTTTCTCCACTTTATTGGACTATGTGTTCCTCTAAAGTTTTTTAATTCCCATTTCCCGAACTTGAAAAAAAAGAATTAAATCAAGTTATCACTGCCCTACACTCATCCTGGCACAGGAATATGGAGCAGTCTTTTCTCTTTTTTTAACCATTCTCCTTTCCAGAGTTAAAAAAAAACCCAACAAAAACAAACCAAAACCCCACAACAGACAAGACAATGATGAAAGGTCTAAAAAGGCTATTCCACTCATCAAAGCACAGATTAAAAAAAAATTAGAATATCTTTGGGTAAAGAAGGAGAAAATACAGTGACTAACTTGCCACTACTTCACATGGCAAAGCAGCATTATAACTAAATATCACAATGGCTAAGTTAATGTCCTGCCACTGCCCTACTTGAGTGATCACATCTTCAGTAAAAAATACTTTTCTAACCTAAAGCAATTTTGAAATAGCAACATGTAATATCATTAATGGGCTAAGCAATAACCAGCAGTCAACGGAATCTCAGTTGTCATTTACTGTAAACCAAAATTAAGCACAGAGCCTGGCTGTCTGCTATCAAATATGCGGAGCAGTCTATCAGCCTTACCTTCCATCTGTTTCCACATTCATTACAGACAACAAACGTTGTCATGGGTTCATCGGCACTGCGGGTTTGAACCTTCGACAAACACAAGAGCCAGAGCAAAGAAGTAAAATCAGTATCGTCAACTGTTAGTATATGTTCAATGTACAGGTTTAAAATCAAAGTTTAACATTAAGGAAACACATTTGAATAAAAATTAAAGTTAACTTTTCATATCAGTTTAACTGCTATTTTTTCTCTAGACTATAAAGCCATCATAAACATGTTTTGACAGATTCAGCCCTAAAATATCAATTTCGGCATAGAAACTGCACATACTTCTAGGAAAAGACTGCTGTAAAACTACATGTTCAGTACAGCTTTACATATATTTACTGATGCAAAGGCTTAAAAGCGTCATGATCTGAAAAACAGCTTTCTACTTAAAGCATCTGATACACAGTATTATAAACACAGCTGACCCTATGATCAAAATCATATGCCCTGAAGTGCTGCTAAACAAATTAAATCCCTGCTTCTTGTCTATATTTCCCAATTAAAATAGAAAAAGATTGTAGGAATTACTGTAAATCAGGGTCTAGAGTTAGTCAAATGGTAGATTTATATATATGATGTATATTTTATATGTATGTATCATTATTTTCTGCTATTTATTCCCTCTGTAAAGAAAAGATTACACACACCAAAACCAGTAAATTCTTCTCCACATAAAACTGACTTAATACAGGAGGTAATAAAATGAATTAGCAAAAACTTCGCAGTGCAAAGAAGCTGACCTTCCAGGCTATATAGATAATTAGTTTGGATTTACATCAAATCTTTCATAAATGAATACAATAAACATTCTTCCAAAAGCACATCTAAGTAGATCCAACTATCTTCACATACTTTGTAATTTGTTAGCGTTTCGTTAAAAGTTCATACTGTAATTAAAACTTCTTCTCTGACAACATTCGTATAGGATATAAAAGTCTTCAAAAAAGGAAAACAAAGAGCCTGAATAACTATGTACCTGGGTGTATGTACAGTTCTTCTTTTTGCACTTGCCACATGTAAACAGATCAGTTTGGGTACCTCCTGTTTTAGCCATCTGGTGCTCTCTAATAGCCTCTTTGGTCAGATTTTTGCGCATTTCTTTCAGCTCATCACTTGCCATCTCCTGTTATGGACAAAGAGCAAACAGAGTTTAGTAGAGAGTTTCAGCTTTAAACAAGTCATTACCACTGTGCAAGCCCACAGCGTTCTTTTTTCTTTTTATTTAGAATCTATGAAGAGCAACATTACTGAAGGGCAAAGTAATTTTACAAATTTTTAATTTTATAAGACTTAAGTTGGGGTATGTCACAGCACAGAAGCTTCAAAAAGTTGTTGTTTGGGGTTTTTTTTATGCAGCTGGAAAAAGAAAATCAGTTAAAGTTGTACTATCGAACACCTGGAAACATTTCTATGTAAATGCACTTCTGAAGTTCAGAAATGTAATAAGGCAGAGGACAACTTAGATGTTCTCCAGAGAGAGAAAGATTCTTTCCCTCGGTTAGATCCTTGCACAATTATCTCATTGACCTACAGAAGATTATTATAGGAAAAACTTACACTATCTTGACTACTTCCATACTTGCACTGAGAAATACAGTATAGCTGTAACTTACCATATGTTACCGGAAGTTATATACACTAAAGTTTCAAAACACTAACTGAACAGCTCAGATTCACCAATTTTCTTTTTCCTTTAAAACAGTTCTATTGTGCAGGATCTCCTCAATGTACAGTGATCACGTATGCATAGTAAAAACCAAGTTGTTCCATTTTTCTTCAATAAAGTTTTATTCCACATCTCATGTAAAGGGGGCTGGGGGGGGGTGTTGGCTATTGAATTTTTAATCCAACACATCAATTGATACAAAGAATGGACACTGGTTAACACGAAACATATGGTTGTGCATATATATATATATACACACACAGAGGAGAAAGGAAAAACCTCTACATACTAAAGATAAAATCTACTTTTTTATTATACTCTTTTACCAGTCTGTTTGCCCTAGTCTTTACATAAAGCTACAGAAAGGAGAAAACAAAACAAGACACCTCCCAAAAAAAACCCCTTCCTTTAGAAAAAAAGCTAACCATGATTTTCATTACATCATCTTAAATCCCATTTCTTTCAGTCTCCAAGATACTACTTCACACCTGATTTGGAGGGGTAGAATCCAACACATACAAGCAGAACTATAAAATGGAAAACAGATGTTAACTATGCTTTCATTTTTCTCTCCCATAAAATCTAATTTTTCATTTGACTTCCTAGATCTAGTTTTATTTGTAAAGACAGCAAGCGTTTCAAAAGGAATTTGTAAAGACAGTGAGCGTGTGAACAGGATTTCTATTGAAGTGTCAAGAATGTTCTTTTAACAGAAATTTAATTTGATTTAAAGGACAATTTTCCTAGCTTCTTTCCCCTACCATTTATGGCTTTTTCTATTTATTGTTAAGAGTTTCCTTCAAACTCACTTCAAGTATTCAAAAGACAGATTCAAGAGATAAGCTTTAAATAAACACTGAAAATGGTAACGAGAGGGAGACTGATCTTTAAAACCACAGTGTTCTACCTTGCATAAGCATAAAATAGCAGAGGTTAGCATCTGAAAAATAAATGGCAAGACAGAAGTCACTAGCCAGTATATTTACATCTTCCTAAACTTAAAACTATCATTGATACATCATGTGGCCTTTTAAAACTGGCACAACATACCATGTTTCAGGAAATTTGCATGCAACAGCTTACCTGCCTTCTGACTTACAGACAAAATCAGTTATTTAAGAAACATTAAGAGACAGCGCTTTCATTCCCTCTGCCCCAACACAGCCTTACACAGACTGTGCAAGCCACAAACAAGCCACAGTCTTTCAAAAAGCGTAGAGAACTTACATACATTATTTTTATGGCTAAGTCCAATAAAGAAACATCTCAAGACCTATGCTTTGCTTACCTCTGCTGTCATTTTGGCAAACTTGTCAGGAGGAATGTTCCCACATAACACATTTTTCCGCAGGTTAGGATTCTTCGCATCCTTGAGATTCGATATTCTACTTCGTACCCTGTTTTTGTATTTCATATCAGTGTTTTTTAATTCTTGAAAAATAGGTGCTTTGGATTTAAGGAACAAAACAAGTGAAATAGAGCACTATATAGGATTATTTTAAGGGGTTAAATTTTCTAAAGCAATGTACTTCTCCACTGCTGATCAACTCCTCCTCCTACTTTCCTGTTCAACACAGAAGACTTCACATCCTTTTGAAGCCTAACCATAGTTCAGCACATGGTCAGTGAAACATGAATTTTTGAGCAGTAGGATGTCAACTGAAATTGTGAAAAGTCACCCATGAATTTATGTCCGGTTCCTTGACCTCATCCTGAGGATTAATTGATTTCTAAACCAAATATTCAGCTCACTAATAGAATTTTAAAACAGGTTTCCAACAGGTGCAGGGAATTCCTTAACAGGAATGGCAGCTGACTGTAACTACCAAATATTAGCAAGTTAGAATCGTGAGGCTTAAACTATTTCTATGCTTATGCTTTTAAAAAAATACCAAGATAAAATGAAAAGAAGCCCAGACCTCTGCTCTGTAACTATTCAAACACTGCTACAAGAACAACCCTTTCGAAAATTCTGAATAATTTAGAAATAAACATGTAGAAAATGAAATAAAGACATTATAAAAAGATTAAAACTGTTAACAAGATTTTAAAATAACACAGAAGAGCCCAGCATTTTATGTCAGAATGCTTCACTAAGATACAATACTGCTGCTGCAATGAAAACACACTGAACTGAAAAAAACCCACACACACTCACCTACACACATTCCTACATGTTTTAAGACAAATCATTTAGGTTGTGCTGTTTTTCCAAACACTAAATTTGTGCACTGATGTGCTGAACAAAGCTTGCTATTTCTCTTCTAAATAAAATCTAAAAAACATTCAATGTATAGATCCAGTTAACTATTTTTAACAATATCAATGCTTTTAATATACTTTTGTTCCAGTGCACATAGATGTTCAACAAAGGATATCTTCTTCAATCTGAGAACCCAGCTCTTCTTCATCAGCACCAATAGCAATGTAATCATCTGAGAAAAACAAGTATTAGAATATTAGTAACCTGACAATCTCATCAGTACTCTACATCCCTGAAAACCCATCTGAAACTCAAACTGAGTCAATTATGAAACAACTGCAGTTGAGTTTTCCTTTTGTATAGGCACGTTTAATTTACTGTACACTTACACATTTGAAAGAACAAAAATAAGTGAAATGAAGAGCAACCGAAGCTTTAAAAAGTAGAAAAAGCCTAAATCTTTCACAAAAACAAAAGTTCTGACATCTAGTCGCAAACACAAGTAGTAACAAAAATCACAGCTATACAGAAAAATTCTTAATATTCTAATAGGCTTGGCAAATACCCATTTCCTCAGCAGAGACTACTCTAAAAAAAGAAGTATTTTGTATTGTGTTTCATCAGTTGTTTCAGTCCACACAATACAAGCCTAAGCGATTAATGTTTTGCATGCAAGAGAAAGATTTCATTAGAAATATAGTAATTAAATAACAGAAACAGTATTATTAGATTTTTGTTTTAAATGCAAAGCAGAGATGTGTCATAAAACATGTAAATTAGAGGAAATAAACCATAGCAATTTTGAAGACAATGCAACACTAGACCTAAATTATCTCAAGATAATTGTTTACTGTTTCTGACCAAAACCCTTACTCATAAAGACAGCTGCCTTTCCAAGATAGCTTAGGACAAATTAGATACAGTATGTGTTTTCCTCCTTCTCATTTTAACATGGGTGTACTTCAGCAAGTAATCCAAACACCATTTCTCCTTCGATGTCATGCAAAAGGCCATAAAACCAGAAAATAACCTTATTTTTTGATACCGGTATTCAACCCACAGATGAACAGTTTATATGTATTGTAGAAAACATAGCAAAAAGAGATCTTGGAAAACTAGCTAAAATTAAGACTACATAGAATTATGAATAATAAGATGCTACATGCAATTTCTTGTTGCAAATTATTTTAGAAGTCTATGAACTACATATAGAGAAGACCACAAACTCATGGCCTTTAGTCACCTTTGATTACTGCTTGTATCTGAATTTCTGTGAATTAAATGAAAGAATGAAAGAGTAAAGAGGGTGAAAATGGAAGACTCTGAATTCAGTCTGCTTACACTGGGTCAGGTTATGCTAACCTAAGAACAGAAGAACAGGACTGGGTCATAAGCTCTGGTAGAAAAGAAGGACCCACAAAAAAAAAGTCAGATCATTCTGAGGAGTCCAATTTCAGTTTGCTCCTTATCTAGTGTTATCATTCAATTTGTCAATTTAAAGACACCCAAGTGTACCTGAGGGGGTAAAGGAGAACAACAAAACAGTCAAGGAATTCACAGATGCCCAAAAGGCATGAAGATAGAGCAATGCAAGACTCTTGCAGTAAGAGTCTTATCTCAATGAAATATCAAGATTAAACTGAAAGAGAAAAGCAGCCTTCAAAATCCACAATCTGAAGGCCCACAGGATCTCTGGTATAAGAAAGGCAGGTGTGTATATAGTGGCATTCTCGGTCAGAGAGAAGACGAAAAAATCCAGCAGCTTCCAAAAAAAGACTCAAATGAAGCATTAAGGAGTCAATAACCTTCCTGAAAAGAAGTTCCACCATAGGCAAGACATCAGATGAACAGATGCCACAAAATGTCCCATATCATCAGCAACAAAAATGTATTTCAATATATTCCCATGCTGTCAAGGTTACTCGCTACTTGCAATCTGGGAGAACTGGCCTATGGGTATATACATACAAATAGATATAAACAGGGTTTATTCTACCCTACAAGGCTTGAGAAAAATAGTGGGAAGGACTGAAACAGAGAAGAAGGAAATAGTTAAAACTTGAAAAATACTCTACAAAGCTCACCTCCTGTTCTGAGAGCTGCAGAAAGCATTTCTCTACATTTCACTCGTACAGAATCTGAAGTGCTTGGAGCCCGGGGAAAAGAAGGGATGAAAGAATTTGAGGGAGCACTACCCTCCTCCTTCCTGCTGCTGGAATTGCTACTTGAACTGCTAAAAAAAGGCAAAAAGAAAGCTACTATTAATGTTTTTCCCCCCTCTTCAAATAACTTTGTTCCAGGACAAAACAGAGGTCTTTTGCTATATCCATTTGATGGTATTCCAGACAAAAAGAACACAAGCCACCCTTTTAAAGCTACTTACAGCTCTAGCGTCAATACAATTTTAGAAGTGTCTTTAGAATATTCACCAGGGTATTCCACGCAACAGAGACACAGCAGGTATTTCATTCCATTATGTGGCATGTAAGTTTTACTTCTCTAACATGAAATCTTTTCTTCCCCCCATGGAACTTTTTAAAAAACAGTGAAGATACATCACACTAACGTTCACCCTGCAGTGAATGCCTTGGATTCAGTCTGCTTACTGCACTGAAGCGGTAGCAGGATCACAAACAAGCAATTAATGTAGCTCTGCAAAATAAACCAGGAAGTTTTCAGCTTGCATCACAACAAATGATTAGAGGTTAAGTTCAATTTGAAAATGGCTGCTGGAAACTAATTCACTACAACCAGAAATATATACAAGAAATGGGCTTGCAGATACTATTTTGCAAATGTCCTTCAGCTCCTATAATGTCATTAACATGGGCTCATTTTTTCTGATAACATATATTATGTGTTTACCAAAAAACATGCAGAGTGGGATTGTTTATTGAATATAAAAGCTAACAGACAAAAGTAGTGTTCCAAACCTCTAACATATGCAATTACCAAAATCTGTGACTGAAAGTTGCTTTACAGTTCTCAAAGCTACCTCAGTGCTATTGAGAGAGAAAGTATTGAGTATTGAAAAATGCAGGAGTATTTAACAGATGACGACAGAACAAACAATAACTAGTCTGGCCATATCTTGTCCTGAGGCTTTCATCTTTAATGTCAGCAGCAGCATGATTTACTTTCTTAACAACACACCATTTCTTACATAACTATTTCAGAAAAGAATGTGGAAGCTGTCTCTAATACCACAAATTTTGACCAACTAATTTTATGTTTATACTGAGTGAGATCATTTGTATAGTCATGAAGAATTTCGCACCTTTCTTCTCTTGCTTCAGGACTATTTTGTGAGGAAGATGCAGGCTCCTTTTTCTTTTCTTCAGAATCTTTATCAGTTGAAGGTCCATCTGGAAATACAAAACACGAGAAACTCTTTTACCCAGAAATAGTAACCGGTTTAAAGCAGTGGTAAAATATCTTTGATGATTTCTCCCAAACCAGTTGGAAATGCTATCAGCTCCCACTCTCTGCTTTGACCTTCTCTTGCAGTACAGCCTTCCACTCCCCAACACCTTCGCCAACCCAGCAAATGGAGAATGACAACACTTCAGATCCTCCAAGTCAAGACCAGCATCTGCTTAAACTGGCAGCGAAGACATGATGAAAACATAGACTTTTATGCTTTATTTTTGCCAACACAGGTGCACGACGTAAACAGTGAGTTTTTAAATTATTGCATCGAGCCCCCGGAGTTTGTCTTCCGTGTTTTAAATATAAGTTCCTACTAAATACATGCCAGGATTTCTACCAATGGACTGAACCAAATGAAACTGTGCTGTGAAAGCTACCATGGTTGCCAAAAAAAAATAAACATCATTTTCACATGCTTTTGAAGGAGTTTTCCAGGCACGCACATGGTATTTTTTGTGACAGCTCTGAAACTATTTGCCTTAGTGATTAAAAATATTTGTATCTGCCTTTCCCATTCAGGCTATGTTTAATGGTGATTTTATAAAGGCTAAAGATGAAAGCCCTTATTAAAAAAGGCAGACACAACATTTAACTTTAGCCTAGCAAGAACACATACACCCTTCTATTGTAAAGAGGAATTCAGAGTGGCTAAATCGAGCTCCTGCTTTGATTCACTCTCTAGAAAGACTGACTCTCCACTGCCTACAGAGAAAGCCTAGCAAGATTAGCATCACTCACTGACAGATTTTGAGAATTCCTCTCTCTAAGCCCTCACGAAGCTGCTATTACAAGTCTAAATCCACAGACTGTATTACTGGGATTAGCATATATTACAAACTTTTAAAAGAACTAACAACAGATCAAGAAAAAGGAGGGAAATCTGATAAGGCTCAGTCTTCCCCACAAAGATGTCTTGAATTAGGTATCTAAAACATAGAATCATCACAGAACAGTTTGTGTTGGAAGGGATCTTAAAGATCATCTAGTTCCAACCCACCTGCTATGGGCAGGCACACCTTCCATGAGACCAGGTTGCTCCAACCCAGCCAAATCCTTGTTTAAGCATCTAAAAGCATCCTCATTTCCAGAGAAGAAATCCATCCCTGCATTTCTATGGGGAACTTGGCGGTATGGAACAAAAAAATTCAGGTCTCTTATTCGAGCACTGAGCTTTGTTTCTTTTTCCTAAAGAGCAGAAAATTAATGTACTGAGTTATTTTTAATAGTAACAATTTACATATAAGACTACACAGAAAACATACTAACCTGAACAGGATTTTGATCTTTTCTTTAACTTTTGAGTTAAGGAATTTATCAAACCAAGTATCATTTTGTTAAAAAATCATCATCATAAGAGGAGACCAGATACAGCCATACTGGATCAGACCAAGCACCCATTTGTTAGTCTGCCTCCAGCTGTACCTAAAGAGATGCCTACAAAACAGAAACCAGGCAAGCACACAAAGATACTACTCCAGAATATTTCCCCAGCCTTCAACAGGTCAACCACTGTTTGTAACTATATTCAATCCTTGCTAAATTTCTCCATTAAACAAAAATAGGAAAATAAAACACAATAGATGATGCACTTTGACTGATCATCTTTAATGAGCTAAATGTGTAACTCAAAAAAATCCTAATGAAGATATCTATTTATTGACTATTATTTATTTTTGAAAGTAATTTCACTAAGAAAGCAAATGAGGCTATAAGCTGAATAGATCATACAAGTTCTTTTCTATGATACCTAAAATGCACAATACTAAGAGAAAGAAAACAAATCCCATTTTTAACATGCAGATTCACATGACTACTCTCTATGGCAACAAACGCTTACATGATATATAATTCAAAAAAATATTCTAAATCTGCACACAATCTCATTTACGTGATCATTTTTGTCAGAAGCTTTAAGACAAGCTGATAGATCAAACTGGTATCTTGGGGTACACCTCAGGTTCTGCAAAGCAGCATAGCTGTCTCAGAGCTGAGCTCTGCTTCAGTCCGTTTGCCTCCATATATTTTTCTGGCACACAAGTTGTCAAATTCTTAGCTGACCTAGGTATCTCCTGCTTATTTTGCATCAAACACACCACTAAGGTATAGCTGGCACCTCTTTTTAGTTTATCAGACACTTCCATTTAGCCCAGCATCGTTTCATCAGAGAAGGCAGGCAGCTGAGAACATCTGCCAATACCCCAATTGCTTCGTTACAGAGGGCAGGGTATACCTGAGGTACGAGGATAAAGCAAGAGGTAACAGCAGAGCTCTTTCTACACCTGCAGACTAGTCTATGCAAGTGCATCTCAATCCAAGGTCAAACTTCAGCAGCTGAGACCACTGGACCATCTTCAGCAAGCATATCTTCAAAATTACAATTTCTTTAATCACTTAAAGGAATTTATAGATACTTCTGTTCAATCCAGTTTCAGAAATCTGAAAATAGAGTTAACAATATTCTCTATGTGCTAGAAATATTCTCCTAAGTGTTTAAGTCATTCACCCTTATAGATCAAATTGGAAAGCACCAAGGAGAGGAGATCCTGTGTCAAACATTATGAAATATTTCTTATTAAAATACTGTATTGACAAAAAAAAAAAAACGAAACAAAAAAACCCAAAACCAAAAAAGAACTCAAAAAACCAGAATGCATTTATCAGCTTGCTAGAGAGCATTTCAACTATCCTCTGAGTAAAGGGAAAAAAATATCCTTGAGAAACTAGAAATCCCTACTAATTAAGGTATTTTACATTCAACAGCCAGATTTTCACGAAAAGGAAGAATGACAGCTAATGGGGACACAACCAACCACAGAAATTCTAACAAAGTAAAATGGAAAAAATGCACCTTCTGTAAGAGATACTTAAAAATTCCAATGAGCAAGTGATTCACATCAGGAAGTCTATAGAACATCAAAAATATTTATGTTATATAAATTATAAGTTCCTTTAAAGATGCACCATTACTTTTTCAGTTTCATACAGTTATTATAGAATCACAGAATCATAGAATAGT